TACAGATCAAATTGAACATTTGTCATTTCCCCAGTGACTTAACATACTCTTTGTGCCTCGGGACCTCAAATTATAATAAGCAGAGTAGATGTTTTAACTCTTTTATTTAGTTTAATTGTTGGCCTTAGTCCCCTTGTTCAGATTATTTGGACTTGTTTAAAATTAGCCTTTCTTCCCCTTAACATATTAAAATAGGAAAGGAGGGAAATTTCTGTTTAGGACCTATTGCGTTCTAAGGATGAATGCAAATTGTTGTACCGTAATTCCTAATGACCCACTATTAACATAGTGGGAAACCTAGTGCATTAATGCACTACCTCTTTTCACATCATTACTCCTAATGGAACTGTTACTAGGATAATAGCTTGACCTTTAGCTATAGATTCAGATAGCAAAAATACTTTCTGCTTACTCGATACCTCTATTCACATAGCATATTGAGCGTTTTCAGATCAATACAATGACAATCTCTTGGCCTTGTTCTAAGGCCTCATCTGCACGTGTAACAAAGAGAATAGGATTTCGTCCTCAGTAGGTAGATGATGGTTAAAAGTCTCTTTTAAGTTTGAATGTAATCAGTGAAATAGAATGTCAATAATATGCCCAGTGGAAATATTTGTCCGTATAGGTATTTTTGGAGAAGGCTTAATGCTGTACCTGCAGTGGTCTCACACGTAGACCTGGGAGACAGAGATGTCCCTGGCTTCTTTTTATTGAAACCGGATAAGTTTTAACTGAAAGGAGAAAAAAATAACCAGATATGGTTGCCTTTTTAGTGAGTGGTAGAATACTCAAGCTAAAGATTAGATTTGAAACATCTGCTTGGAAGCCCCTTACAGAGTGGGAGAAACATTCCAGAACCTTCCCTTTGGTTCTCCTAAACTCGGTTGTTGACACACATGGTTGCTGGGAGTCCTTTTGATGTTGGCAAAATCCACATCTACTTTGTTAATTTGGAAACACTACTTCCTAATGTGTGCTCATTTGGACACGTGCATTGCACAATCTAAAAAAAGAGGAGTTGCTATGGAAATTAATTATATAAATAATATTACAAGGAGGGAGATGTTTACCTGCTAAGAATATATTCAGATCATTTTTGTGGTACACATTTTCGTACAAACTGATAGGGCGCTAAATACAAATTTTTGTTCTATTCATTAAAACAGGACTTTGAGAACCTTTGGGCAATTCTCTGATTAGGAAACGTTATGCGGGCATTTGAATGTAATAAAACCTCGGTTCTTTAACTTCATTCTAGTAATTAAAACGTTTTACTAATTTAGATAGGCCTTTCTCCTCCAGTTAGTCTAAATTTGTGAGCTACGGTATTTGCTTCCATTAGAAACAAAACTGGAAAATATATTTGTTTGTTCATCAAATGTTTATTGAGTTCTTAGTACAAGGGCACTGTAGTAGGTGCTTTGAGGGACACAAAATAAATGAAGACCCCTAAACTTGTCTATAATCTGGTATAGGAGATTCAAAAACACACCTACCCCAGGAATACCTTTTCCTCTGCACCCCTCCCAAGTGGAGACTGCTTATGTGCCTATGCCCCACATGCCATATACTGGGCAGCCTGGTTGATATTTTCTCTAATCCTTAATTCTGTTTCCTAGTCATCACTCTTCCTCTGTCCAGTTGGGCAGAGATGGAACCTTTCCATTAAGGCTCTTATCACAGCTGTGCGTCTTCCTCTCCCTCCCAGGTCCTGCTCTCATCTTGGGTAACTTCACTGTCCACATGAAAGATCCATCTGACCCCCAGCTACATAATGTCCGGACCTCATCCATAGTGACATTCACCTCCACTACTTTCAGCCCCACACCTTTGACCACACCTTAGCAGTTCTCATACAGAACTGCTCCGCTGCCGATATTGTATACTCCAGCAATATACTCTCAATTGCCCCTACTCCATGGCACTTTCTTGCCAACCCCATTGATATTTCCATTCGCTGATCTCTGTAGATTTTTCCAAGTCTGTGAGCCTTTTTCTGGCTTCACTTCCTGTCCAGATTTTGGCAGGAAGGGGGAGTGAAGAAAGTTGAGGTAATTCATTCCAGGGGGCATCTTCACCAACATCTTCAAGTGCTTTAGATCCCTGGCCTTCTGCCAAAACCGTCTAGCAAACTCTTAACCCTAGACTAGCCCCACCATCCAGTGTCTCCACTCCTAACCAGGAGCTGCAAGGTGCCATAGGAGAAAACAGCCTGCCCCTATAGGTTGTTGCCACCATAAGCATGGAGCCCCCTCTCCTGCTTGGCATCCTTGTGTCCTGAGTCTGCTGCCTTCCTATTCCTGTTCTTCTCAAGGCAAATCCAGACATTCCCCACGCTCTCCATACCCCTCACCATTGAATTCAGTGAGGTCTCAGGAGTGATTGCTCCAACCTATAATCACTTGTCAGTCTGCCCCCAGTCTTCCCGTCTTCTGGGTTCAGAGGAGGAAGCTTTCCCCTGTTTGAGGGCACCCCTCCATTTCTATTCCAATCCTGTCACCTCACAGTTCCTCTGGCATGGTTCCTCAAATTGTCTTCTTTTTCCTGGATCCTTCTTCTCCCACAATACTGGCTGCTTCCCTCAGCCTGTAAACCATGCTCACATCTCCCTGACCCTCAGCCCTCCTCCCTCTTCTCTCCCTTTCTCACTGAACCCAGTTTTTTGAGTGTCGTCTGTGGTTACCCTCACCACTCCCTGATGGCCTCCAGTGGACTCTTTCCAAACCTCCCTTCCTGGCCCTCCCTTCTGCACTTTGGACTGTTGGTCCCTCCTCTTTATAGGCACCCCTCACTGGCCTTTACGAGACCCCTCTAGTTCTCCTGACTTGAGCCAGTCCTTCATGGACAGGATCCTGGGCCTTGTCTTCTCCTTTGAAACACTGGGGTTCTCTCTGGCTCTGTGCTGGCCCGGTGCTCTGTTCACTCAACATGTTATCCCCGGTCAATGTTTTTTCTCTCGTTGTTTTAACTACGCATATACGTCTGTGCCTCTCAAACCGGTACCTTCAGCCCGGACCCCTTCCCTGAACTGTAGGTTTCTGTATCAAAATATCTGCTAGTCTTCTCCACGTGGGTGCTCTGCAAACACCCCAAACTCAGCATGTCCCAAACCAAGCCTCATACATCCCACCCCTCCCCTCACAAACCGCCCCTTTCTTCTGTACTGACCAGGTCATATGAGTCACCAGAAATGCCGGTTCCAGATACGGTTCTGGCCACCTGCCGTCTTCGCTAACACTGCCCTGACTCAGAGGATCACGGTAGCTTCCTAAAAAGGATCCCTCGCTTCACTCCCTCACACCGCTCCTCCCCATTCTGCCCTTCACCTCTTCCTGCACAATTGGACTGTTTGCATTTGTATGTGGCTTTTTTTCCTTCTTTCAAATTATTTCCTTAGTATAAATTTCCAGGAGTAAGATCATCATTCCAAAGGTATAGTAGGTTTATGTCTCTCATTATGTAGTACTGTCTTATTCTCCAAAAGGGTTTTGCCAGGTTATGCCGACAGTAATGTTTGAATGTGCCAGGTCCCCACAATTTTAAGTATTAGCTTTTTAACATTGTTTTTCTAGTTTAGTAGGTATAAAGTGTGCCTTGCAATTTTTTTCACTTATGTATTAGTTAAACATTTTTCCTAATGTTTTTTGCTATGTATACTTTCTACAGAGACTTTTGAAGTTGCTCTTTTATTTGAATGAGCTCTGGATATAGCGGTAGAAATTGAACCTTTTCAGTCATATTTAGTGCAACTAGCTTTTCTCATTCTAATGAAATTTTTATTCAATAGAAATTTTACAGTTTTATTGAATCTGTCAACATTTTCCTTTGTCATTTTTTTTGAAAACAAACCCTTAAAACGTTAAAATTACGGGTATTTTAAATACCAAGACGGTAGTGCACTATGACTGAGTACTAGGTGTCGACCTTACCAAGAGCAAGTTGACAAGACCGAGTTTAAAAGTGCTCAGGACCGGAGTGTGAAGCAGAAAAGTCAACAAGAGTGCCTGTGTGAGCAGTCACACCCTGTGCGGCTCTAATAGGATAATGGTCTTGCCTCCCTTTTGTCCCATCATAGGGTTCTCCATAGTCTCTTTTGTGCTTAACAGGTAGCTCTTCCCTAGGAGCTAGTGCAATAGGCAAGAGGTCGACTCAGAGTAGAGCAGAACTTTCCTTAAGACACAACTGCATCATGATTTATTTTGAATACTGATTGAGTTAGTGGGAATCACCATGAGAACATCATCTTTTTCTGTAGTCTTGCATTAGATTTTTAATTAACAACAAAAAAGTGAAATCTTATAATACACCTGCTGAATTTTGTCATGAGGCCAATGGACCCATAGGAAGCGTTTTCTTCTCTGCGCATAAGATACATACACGTGGACATGGAGCAAGTAGAAAGAGCAGTTTCCAGCAGTTCTACTTAATATTTATAGCGGGTTTCATTTTGAAGCACAGCACATTAAATGTAGACAGGGCCCTGCAAGCTCCATCTTCACCCGACGATTGTAATATGGATATTGAGAATATCCGCTGCAGAACTGATGTCTTTTAGAAATCTACTCTTCTGGACTGGCCCCGTGGCTTAGCGGTTAAGTGCGCGCGCTCTGCTGCTGGCGGCCCGGGTTTGGATCCTGGGCGCGCACCGACGCACCGCTTCTCCGGCCACGCTGAGGCCGCGTCCCACATACAGCAACTAGTAGGATGTGCAACTATGACATACAACTGTCTACTGGGGCTTTGGGGAGAAAAAAAAAAGGGAGGAGGACTGGCAATAGATGTTAGCTTAGAACCGGTCTTCCTCAGCAAAAAGAGGAGGATTAGCATGGATGTTAGCTCAGGGCTGATCTTCCTCACAAAAACAAAACAAAACAAACAAAAATTAAAAAAAAAAAAAAAAGAAATATACTTTTCTTCCTTCTTGGGATATAGTCCTATTTCAGATCTGCGTATTGTATTTGTTAAAGTATTTAACACTATTTCACATTTTCTTTCAGTCTTCACAGAAAAATACTGTACTGCTAACCACGTGGATAAACTCCCTGGCCCGAGAGACTGGGTACAGATTCTACAGGATCAAATTAAACTGGCCAGAAGAAGGTTAAAAAGAGGCTCAGGTACGAATAAGCTGCAAGAGAATAATCACAGAAGCCCGTGATTGAGTTCTCAGACATCGCACAGTACAGCTCTCTGCTCTCGGATCCCTTGTTCCTTTACTGTCTTTTGTGCTTTGAAGGAGACACTCTATATAATGTGCGATGGTTTTGTATTTTAAAGTCTTATTCAAATGAATTTTGAAATTCACCTGAAGATTAAATAGTAAAAACTATGTCAGGCCATTTCCTTTTAATTGTACGAACGAACAAGATTTCTGATCTCATTCATGGTCTTATGTGTCTCGTGTATGACACTGGGTGTCTCTTTTGTGATTTGCTTCTATTGCCTATTGATTTTTGTTTGTTTGGATCTGCATGACTTTATAAAAGTACTGTTTCCTTAAGGTAAAAAATAACAATAATCATCCTACCAGAAACACCACATGAAATAGATAGAAAGAGATTTTATGTCAAGTATATATATGTATTTCTCCCCCTATATGTTTGTCTGTCTGTATGGGTGTGTATATGTATATATATATATATATATTTTTTTTTTTTCTCCCTTAAATCTGGGCTTGGCAATTCTGGAATTATTCTTCCAGGAAAAGTGAATACTAGTTGAATTATGACTATTTAGATTTGGTCATTTGAAGTCTCAGCCTCCCCAAAATGACAGTGGGCCAATTTACCAGTGAAGAATCCCTTTGAAGTCACTTTTCTGCCATCGTGTAAGAACAATCATCTTTAGGAGGCCACAAACCTCTAGATATTTTTTTTAAAAATAATTCCCGATCAAACCTCAGGACGTCTGGCCTGATAAGAGCCTTTGGTGCTTTTGTGGCTGGCGTGTGAGAGTTTGGGAGGTGGACTTTAGATGCTGAAAGGTTACCATTCGGATGTTCTGGAGGCCCACTAGAACAGCAGTACAAATGTGTGACACTGTCACTAACACATCCCTTTATGTGAACCACTATGTGTGGCAGTAACCGTGACCCAGCCTGTGCAGGAGGACAGCTAAGGGCCTCCAGGAGAGCTCCCAGCACAGGCTGGGAACCCCCTTGACAAAATGAGCCACACAGGCACCGAGGGACCAAGTGGTTTTTTGGTGTGAAAAACCTTACAGCTCTTTTCTATACAAGTAGCTATCAGAACTCTAAAATATTCAGCTGTAGGTGATATCTTTTATTAAAAAGCTTCCCTTCCTCTTTTTTTTAACCTTTTGCTTTCTTTTACACTTAATTGATGCTTTTTTTATAAAGAGCAATGGACTACTAATATTTTTAATTGGTAAAAAAATGTATTATTGCTTTAGGCAGCAAGTCATAGTGGAGTTAGAAGATCTAGTCTTCAGGTCTCATGTCTGCTCTTTACCGGCTCTGGCCCTTGGGCAAGTCACTCCATCTTTCTAATCCTCAGTGTCTGTCATGAAGTGGACGTAAAAATAAAGCCTGCCACAGAGTTGTTGTGAGGCTGCAGACATATGTTGTACCTGAATGTCTTCATAAATGAAACCGGTGTGTCCTCTCTGAAGATGGCTGTGTTCGTACGCAGCAGTGCTTGGCAGCGGTGGAGGTCGCTGAAGCAGCCATAACCCCGTGGGCCCCTCATATCCTAAGTCAGGGGACCAGCCAGCCTGCTGTGCCTGGGCAGTCCACTTTGCTCCTGTTGTCCTGGCGTAATTATTAATAATGCCCCTTTCACTCCCAAGGTCTCTCAGTTTTCAATGCCTTCTTTTCCTTAATCTACAAATAATTGCGAAAAAATGCAGCAGCGTGATATAGTGGCAAGAGCAGGTCTGAATTCCTAGCTCTGATCTGTCATTTACAAATGCCTGGGACCTTGGACAAATAACTCAGCTTCTCTGAGCTTCCCGTTCTCCATTTATATAACGAGGCCGATACGACCTCAGAGCTGTTTTCAGAGTTCAAATTAGGTAATGTAAATATTGCCACTAATAGAGAGCTGACACATAATAACGCTCAAAAAATGTTCACCACCTTATCCTCCTTCCCTTTGCCAACCAAAACCAAAACAAACAATTCCTGTTTCCTTGCCATTTCCTAAAACCACTGCCGTCTCTTTCTCCTAATGTGGTTGGCCAGATTTCTTCCAGAAGGGACTGCGTTCCCTGAGTTGGCTTCCCCATCCCAGTTCACTTGAGAATCCACTGCGTTTTGCCCTCTGACCTCACTCCCCTACATAACGCTTGCTGCGTTCACGTCCCAATGATCAGATTTCACTTTCTGTTTATATTAACACTCTGACTTCACCTCCATGTTGATTTTTACACTGTCGAATAGCATCCTTCTTGAAACTCTTCCCTCTTCTGTGATTTCGTTCTCTCTGTTTCTCCTCCAAATTCTCTGGCAATGCCTTTGGTCTCCTTCACTGCCTCTTTCTCCTCTGCTATCTGCTAGACCCAGTGTCCCCGAGCTTCCACACTTGGTGCCGTTCCCATTCTAAATCCTCACTCATGTGAGCTGTCCCCTCATCCATGGCTCCGCAGTGTGCAGCTCCAGAGGTGGCCGTGTCCTGAGACCCTAGAGTCCATCCTCTGTGCCTCTGCTCGTGAAATCTCATCATGCCCTGCCCCCGACTAAAGACTTCTGCTAGCTTCCTGTTGTCCCCAAAGTACCCATCCCCACCAACATGGTACACAAGGTTTTTTACAGTCTAGTGCCACCCTCCTCACCAGCCTCATCTCTTGCCATAGGCCTGTGCCTCCTGTGGCCACACCAGACTTCTCCCTGTTCAGAAATACACTGGGCTCTCACACTCATGCTCTCTCTCTGCCTGGAAAACAGCGCCTCCTCCTGTTACAGCATCTCAAAGGTTACTTTCTCCTGGAGTCTTCATAGGCAGCCCAGCACATTAGTCTTCTGCCACCAGAATAGTTACACACTGTTTCCTCCACTGACCGGGAGATCCTCAGGAGCAGAGACGCATCTGAGTCATGTTTCTGTCTCAGGTGTCTAGAACAGTGTGTGGCACCGTGTGGACATGCAAGAATATTTGTTGAATGAACCAATAATCAATCAATGGAAATGAAGAGACAATAAACAGTCCACAAAAAAAATGTCGTATTGTTTAGTTCATCAGGGTCATCTGAGATCCTAAGGTTCAAATACTTAGATCCTGTCTCTTCCCTCCCAGAACCCATGCGGTGGCAACGTCCCTGAGTCTGTGTTTGGGAACAAGGTCCTTAGGACTCCTGGGTATGCCTGTAGCCACTCACATGGTCGTCCCAGAGTGCCCCTTCCTTCCTGCTCCTCAAGCCCTTTGTCTCATCCTTCTCTGCCCTCCCCCACCTCCTTAGTCCTGTCACTCCTCAGCCAATTCTCTCTTCTCCCACCCTCCCCCAAAGGTTCAGTCTTGTGTCATGGTGGCCTGACCTCACTCAAGGTAGATTAACACCTAAAGATTAACCTCCTGCTAGTGGGGTCTCTTGTTCCTTCTTATGCTAAAGATCTCCTGCCTTGGCCTTGAATTACCTCACAAAGGCCCCTCTTATTACTTTAGCCCCGCCCCCGCCCCCCCCCC